TATGCGAAACCTTTTCCGGATGCGCCACCTTTATCAGAAGATGTTGATGCCGACTACGCGCTTAAGCAATATGCACACCTTTTTAAAATTACTACTCCGTTGAAAGTTGAAACTTTAGAGGCGTTACTGGTGGATCATCCTAATCAACCTTTTGTCAAATCGGTCATGAAAGGTTTACGCCGAGGCTTCTGGCCTTGTTCTTCTTTGCCATCTTCTGAGATTATCGACGGTCCTAACCATTTTTCTTGTGTCGATAACCAAGTTTTGTTGGAATCTCAATGTCAAGAAGAGATTGAGAAAGGAAGATATTTGGCGGAGTTTACTGTTCTTCTTCAAGGCATGAAGGTTATTCCGTTGCTTATGGTTTCAAAAAGCGATTCGAACAAAATGCGAGTTTGCTCGAACATGAGTGCTGGCCGGCCTTCACCGAATGATTTAGTGAATAAAGAAGATATTCCGGTGGCTTATGATTCTCTTAAGTCCTTTATTCCTTTCGTCATTGAAATGAAAAAGCAATTTGGGGAGGTCGTTTTGTTTAAATCAGATGTGGAAGCGGCGTTTAGAATCATCCCACTTCACCTTCAATATCAGATTCGTCAGATTCTCAAGATTGTAGGCGACAAGAAGAGAGTGGATCATAATCTGACTTTTGGTCATTCGGCTTCTCCTCACATTTGGTGTGGGGTATTCTCCTTGGTCCTTTGGATTGCTGAGTTTATATTTGGTATTAAATATATGAATAATATGATGGATGACGTATTTTGTGTTTGTTCAACTAGGAATTTTGTGTCTTTTAAAGGTCATTGGATTCCTTTACCTCAAGCAAAACTTTTAACTTTATTTGATTCAGTTGGTATGCCTTGGGTATGGAAGAAGCAAATACACGGTCCTATTATAGAAATCATTGGTCACATTATAGATACGGATCGTATGATTATGTGTTTACCGACTGAGAAGAAAGCTCATATCGTGGAAAAGCTTAGGGATTTTGTAGCTAAGCCAAGGCATTCTTTGAATGATTGGCAAAAAACTCTGGGTCATGCTTCGTGGGCCTGCACGTCAATGCCTTGGGGTAGATTTGCTTTACAAAGTTTATATGAGAAGTCAGGAAATAAATCTCACCGGTTTCTGCAAGTTCCGTTAAATAAAGAAAATCAAGACGATCTGCGTTGGTTGATAAGGTTTTTTGAAGACAATGATGGTATTCAAGTTTTGAATTTGATTCGTTGGGGTTTATTGGATGCGGATTCGGTTTTCTTTTCCGATGCTTGCATGACTGGTATTGGAGTATGGGAGCCAGGGTCTCGTTCTGGTTATCATTTTGTTTTACCTCCTCCAGCTCGCAATATTTATTGGGCTGAATTGCTTGGTGTTATTTCAGCTATTGACATTGGTGTGAGGAAAGGTTCTAAACGGATTTTTATTCATTCAGATTCGAGTAACACCGTGGACCTTTTCAGTTCTCATGCGCCTAATAAAATTGTTTGACCATTGTTTCGTCATTGCGTGAAACAACTTGTGGAATCGAAGGCGGATGTGAAGGTTATGCACATTTCAAAAGATTTTAATTCAACTGCTGACACTTTATCTCGAGTGCAATCGATTTTATTACCGGCGGATGAAGAAATCCTGTGTCGTGCTATTGATGCTCAATCGATTTCTTATTTGAACATCGATTTAGTTCTTTCATCGGGTGGCCAAACTATTAATTTGGATTCTCTTGACCCAGCGTCCAGGGTATGGCTAAATCCCGATCGAATCCTTCCAGACCAAGGAAGAATATGTTAGATATCTCTCATGACAATTTAAAGAAACTATCCGAACAAGATCGTCGTATTACTATTTCAGCTGTTTCTCTTAGCAAATATAAATCTGGTTTTCGTGCATTTGCTAAATTCTGTGTTCATTTTCAGAAACAATTTACTCCGAATGTTCGTAATTTGTGTGAATTTATTTCATGTTACAGTCGTATGATTTCTCCAAGATCGGTTCAGGCGTATATCGTGGGTATTAGTTATATTTTTAAGAAGGAATTTCCGTCAGTGTTATGTGAATCGAAGCATCAAGATGTTAGGGATACTTTAAAATTCTGTTTACGTAATTTTTCGAAGCCGGTGATTCAAAAGAATCCTTTGACGGTAGAACATTTAGAATTAGTAGTTTCTAAATCCTCTTCAAGTTTTGATGACAAATTATTTTTAGCCCTGTTAGGCGTAGGTTTTGGTGGTCTCCATAGGTTGGGAGAAATAACGGTTCCGGATTCTTCTAAGCTTTTTGATGAGAGAAAGATTATTTTACGTTCATCTTTTAAATTTTCAACCTGTAGGAAATTTGTTCAGTATCAGTTACCTTACTCAAAGGGGGACAAGAATTTTTTAGGAGCTCCGGTTATCATTCAGCAATTTTTTAATTCACCAGCTTGTCCGGTTCAACTCGTCAAATCTTATCTTCGAGTGAGGGATGACAAATTTATTACTTCTAAGGAACTTTTCTTAACGTCTGCGGGTGTTCCCCCATCTCGTTCTTGGTTTTTATCGTGCTTTCATTCTCATTTCGATAAAAAAATTTCGGGTCATTCTCTGCGGTCAGGAGGAGCAACAGCTTTGGCGCAGGCGGGTGCTACTATGGATTACGTTAAAAGTGCGGGTCGCTGGTTGTCAGATGCTTTCCTTATTTACGTCAGAGGTCATGTTGCCTTACGATTACCGGAGAATCAAGATCATGTAATCGGGCACGTGTCTCATGTGGGCGCTAAGGTCTCTTTTGTCTAGTGAGTAGGTATTTTTTGTTGAAGACTGGTCAATGGTTTTTATGCCTGTCTTTTGATTCACCGGTCTATGGTTTCATTCCTTGGTGATATTTTGGTTTTTTAACCTTTTTTGGTCAATGGCACTTTGCGCTTTGTGCTTATTTCCTGGGTTTTGCTTTTTATCTATTTTTTGATCATTCTTACTGACAATTTGTTTCTTTCTTCCTCTCCTACGTCACCACTCTATTTGTACGGGTGTTAGGCGGGACGGAGAGGGAGATCTTTTATTCTTTTTGTTAAAGCAATTTATTACCCGGGGCATTTAGCCTTGGATTTCGCCCAAACCATTTACAGTTTGATTTCAGTTTTTATTATACTCTGTTTCGTAAGTTTTATTAAAACACATTTCTCAATGTTTGAGCATTGACATTGATCAACCTGCAAAATCAAAAACCAAGCGCAAAACAACCCAGCATTGAGGGTGCTCAAGTGATTTTTTACACTGTCAAAAAATTTTGGAATTCTTTCATATTCTGAACAAAAAAAATCAAAATTTCTTATGGAATCACAGATTATGTTTGTAGTTCTAGTGTTACAAACAAAGGGCTTGGTAACACATAGTGGAGCAGCAATAGCACCTGGGCTGGTCTGGTGCATTGAATTAGGCTTCTAATTGGCACAATAGTGAACAATATCAAATTGAGATATGGTGCTTGAGTGCTATGCTACAAAAATCCTGGGAGAGAACACTTCATAGCAGTGTGGACCAACATTTCAGCTATGCATAAAAGTCCTATCCACACACTCTTGAAAAAACTGACATCAATCTACCCACTACAGATATTCTAGAGACAATATATCCCTACCCAAAACTGCCATAGTTAGAACCACTTTGGATTGTGGAGAATGTGGGATGCAAACAAGAAGAAATCAAAGAGCTTATACCTACAGTAATTGAAGAAGAAAAGGATCAGGGGGCATTGTGTGATGTAAACAGACAGATCATCTCTACCAGACATGAGTAGAAGAACAGCAATTGAAACCAAATGAAGAATGGAAAGCCATGCTCATAGACCACTGGAAGGAGTTTCCAATTACAAGACAATCAATTACCTTGATGATAGTACTAGTTCAATTGAGACAAATTAGTGATACATTTCCCAATAAATTTATGTCATTAACCATCTTTAGTGGCAGTCAGGATGCAACCATCATTTGCCAAACCATCACAGTCCAATCTGCTTGATTGCATAATTAGTGTGGAAGACCCAGGGTATGGAATTTCAAAGGTTATACAAAGTGAGATAAATCCAGACCAGGGCAAAATGCATAACATTATGCAAATACATAACTTCATACATTCTCACAGGGTATAGGTTAGGCTTTAAGTCTTAGGGGTCAACCATTTTGACATAATCTTATGCATTCTTTCCCTGTTATTGAAAATCTATTCAATCTGCCTTCCAAAGCCTGTTTTTTTTACTTTTGACCTATGCATTCTCATTCTTGACATCATTGTGAAATATACCTAACTTTTAGCCCACACCAAGTTCAGAAAGTCTTGAGCTATTCAAAAATGGATGATTATAAAATTGTGCAAGTTTGACTGTACAACAACCTAATTCATTACCATCCTTGAGACACTACTTATACTCAAATCTTACAGGGCCATACCAACTCATCTTCAAATTTGAATTTACTGAATGTCTGGTCATGAAGGCAATGAATTGAATGAACAAGTGGTTCAGTCAGAAATAGATTCATCAGGAAGTGGATTTCATACCCATACTTCTCCTTAAAAGCTTGGAAGGATTTCGAAAGCACAGAAGAAAATTGTTTTTATCAAAGAGGAGCTATTCTGAGGATTGAACTGTACAGAACAAAAAAGAAAATGTATAATCAACACATTGAACTCATCAGAAAAAGGAGAAGGAAGATTGATTATTTTTTTTTCAACTCAGGTGTGAACATATCACACTTGAACAGATTCTTAAACTCAATGGGAGTCAAAAAAGGACAACAGAGCTAAAGGTTGTTTTCCAACTGAAACACTGCTACACTTTTCCTGATCTGTTGCAAGAAACACACCAAATAAAGACAAGCATTTAGGAAAGAGTTGAGAGACAATAAAACAAGATTCAATATGAATTCAGCTACAGACCTATTAGAAACACCCAAAGCTTCTATACAAACTAAATCCATAGCATAATGTCATAAAAGTTTTATACAGCGGCTGCCGCTGCCCGATACCGACAGGATGGCCGAGTGGTTAAGGCGGTAGTTTCGAATCCGCTGAATGCGATCGATCAGCTACTTCACTATGTGAGCGTGAGTTCAAATCTCACTTCTGTCGTAGGCCCTCAATTTTTGTACAACAGCTTTTTGAGTTGAATTGGCAAGATGATAAAGGAGATCGGTAGATGAGTTGTACAATGCATTCTAATGGTTGATTTGATACAAGTGACATTTGAAGTGATTATATATAAACTCATCAGATTAATTACAATTCATCTATATCTTTGAGATGATGATATCTATCCAGAGTGTCAGCACTTCAACACAAGAGAAACAAGAAATGAAGATGATTGGAATACAACATATGAGAAGTATCGGATAGGTAAGAGAAGATAAAGGAAAATGAAGAAGAAGTCAAGTGATCGGAAGATCCAGAGTGATGATCTGATCAGATAAAAGTGGATTAGTTGAACCTTCTTCAGGTCTGATCACAAATAATCCCATCACCGCACTTCTAATTTGACGTTCCCAAACTGATTCTAATTCGAATCCACCCACAAACGCTAATCGATCATCACTCAAAACCATTCCAATCGATTCTTCATCTACATATCCTGGTCTATACGCATCTTGAAAGGTTTGAAGTTCAAACAGATTCGAATAATCATTCCATCTTCCTAACTCTCCTTCTATATCTGGTTTTTGCTCATCATCTAGTTGTGAGACCGATGAATCTAATAAACCGGTGAGAGAGGGCATGGTTAATGTAGATTTGGTTGCCAAATCTGATGCCAAAGCTCGGGCAACTGATTTCTTTTGCGCTAGAGCACGTTGCCGTGCGATTAACTTTTCCGCGCTCACATCAGAGTCAGCCTAGATGGTCAAGATCAAATCATTGAATCAGAAGAGAGTTCAAGAAAGAGATCGATGTAAGCTTTAATGAGTTCAAAGAGAGTGAAGATCGAAAAGAAGAAGGCTAACCAAGTTACGAATCGTCTCTTGTTTCAATTCACGTTCTTCCCTCAAAGCTTCTTCCTCTAATCTGATCAATTCAGCTTTTCTTTCCTCACGTTCACGTTTGATAGCTTCCTCTTGACGTTTGTTTAATTCGACTTGTCTGGCTTCATGGACTGCGTTTTGAGCAATCAAATCTTCATTTTCGATTTGATATTTTTTAATCTTTGCTTCTGTTTCTAATACATCTACTCCATTGATTAAATTAAAAGCTATTTGAATCGAATCAATTCAAACAATCCGAAAAAAGTAAAAGTCAATTCAAGTTTGTAAATGAAGAAAGAGAGATGGAAAGAAAGAAAGAAAAAGGATGAGAACTCAACTAATCTCTTCAACTTCTTCTAAATAATTATTAAAATGATCCAAACTTTTAAAATCTTCCAAACGTTTATTAAACAATTTATGAATTCGTTTTCGAATGAGAATCTCTTTTTCAACTTTTAAATTTTCAAACGTTTGAGGTGAAAAATTGGATTTTCTTAAAATTAAACCACAAATTGGACATGGTTCAGGTCCTAATGAAAAGATTCGATCTATACATGATTCACACCTTTTTTTTTGGTTGATGGTGAATTCCAAAAAAAAAGAAAAGAAGAGAAAAAGTTTTGATTAAAATCAATTCATCTCAATCCTTTTTTTTTCTTTTTTTTTTCTTTCTTTCTTTTTAAGTTCTAAGTTCTATCCTTTTGTTTTTTTTTCCTTTTTTTAACGAATACTTACATTTTATGATAACATTTTGAGACTAATAAACGTAAATCTGGATTAAGATATCTATCAGATTTACAAATTGGACAAACATCTGTTTCTGACTGAAAACCAAATATAAAATAAATCATAAAGCTTTAGACTACTATCTAGAATTTTAATTCATGAATCTGATTTGATTTGATCTGATAAAGAGAAAGAGAAACTTACAAAGAATTCTACAGTTCTACCAGATTGATCACGTTTCAAGTTACTTGGTCCGACGACTGATTTGTTTGAAGATGAGCCTATGAGTGAGTTTGGATCAAGATGATTTGATGATGATGAGCTTCCTCGATTTGAATGTTCATTGAGATGAGATTGATTGATGAGATGATGATGATGATGATGATTGGCTTTGGTGTTCACTGGTTTCCTTGATCCCATTGGACTTTCAATTTTAATTTTAATTTTAATTCGACGCGTTCTTTAGTCATCCATTTGGCTTATTCAATCCATTTGGCATCCATAAGCCTTCGATTGAAATGGTTAAATCACCACATTTCACAGCTTCTTCAGATGTCAGGCACTCCAATCTGTCACACATTACATACACTACTACTACTACTACTCTTCAACTCCGCTTCTTTTTCGAATCCCGCAGAAAACTTTAAGCTTCACTCAAGTTTTCAAAATGTCTTCATCATCTCCACTCGTAGGTTAGTCCTAGCAGTTCTCACTTTTAAATATTCTATCAGTTCATCCCACACATTCACTCATCATATCTCAACCATCAAATCATAGGTGTGATTGGCGGTTCAGGTCTTTACAAACTAGACGGTCTTACCTCCATCGAAACCTTGAACATCGATACCCCATGGGGTTCAACCTCCTCACCCATCACTTTAGCCAAACTACCAACCGGACAAGTGATTGCTTTCTTAGCACGACATGGTCTATCCCATCATCTCTCACCATCCGAAGTTCCATCTCGTGCCAACATAGCTGCTTTAAAACATCTCGGTTGTCGTGCAATCATTGCCTTTTCAGCCGTAGGTAGTTTAAGAGAAGAAATCTCACCTAAAGATATCGTGATACCACATCAAATCATAGATCGAACCAAATCCATCAGACCTTCTACCTTTTTTTCAAATTTAGGTGTCGTGGCTCATGCGATGTTTGGCGAACCATTTGATTTAGAACTGATTGAGATTTTAACCAAGTCGATCAAACGAGAAATTCAAAGTTTCGAACCTGATTTGAGAGTTAGATTACATGACAAGAAAGTCGTAGTCTGTATGGAAGGTCCTGCTTTTTCGACTCGTGCTGAAAGTCTTATGTATCGTCAATTAGGTGGTGATATTATTAATATGTCAGTTTTACCTGAAGCCAAATTGGCTCGTGAAGCTGAAATAAGGTTCGTGGATCCCCATCAAATGTTTTCATCTTCAATCTTCAACAGAATTCACTAAAATTTGATCTTTTTTTTTGTTTTGAATGAATTGATAATAGTTATGCCTTAATTGCTCAAATCACGGATTACGATGCATGGAGAGGATCAGAAGAACCCGTAACAGTCTCAGAAGTGATGGAAACCATTCAATCAAACGTCTTGGTCTCCAATCGATTAACCTTAAAAGTCTTAAGTGATCTTCATCTCGCCTTAGAATCAAATCAACTTCAAACCTGTAAAGGTTCCATGGAATTCGGGGTGATGACCAAGAAAGAATCGATTAGTGAAGAAGCCAAGAAGACTTTAAGTTTTATCTTACCTTACTTTTCTTGATGGATTTCTTGGGTTCAGTTTTTCTTTTTTTTTTTTTACTTGGAATGTGAAATGTGGAATCGGATCTTCATCTTAAAATCAAGTGTAGAATCTTTAGAATGCTTTGAATGCTTTAGTCAAAAATCTAAACCTGTTTTCACATCCATCTCATCTCTTGCCATAAAGATTTTCACCCCCTCCTCGAAGTGATGTGCATCAAGGAAGTTGATTATATGTGAAGACCAAGATAGGTTTATAGCTTTGTAGACTGATGACCACAATAATGTAAGCAGTCTCGAGGTCCAAGGCGAATATGGGATCCAAATCTTCATTTTGGATAGGCGTTGTTTACCAAGCTTTATGCATTCAAAGATTATGTATTGTAGCTTTAGATGTGTTGCTGGTTTGTGACTGATAGTCATGAGGCTTATCTAAATACTTCATGGACTGTGACATCCAGTTGACAATTGCGAATACCAAGATCACTTTTGCTCATCTCAACAGCCTACACAGAGTATGTACCCAACAATCTCGGCAAGATTGGGTGGGTCTGCCTCATAGAATCAATCACTCCTTTGCTTTCATCACTACTCTCAATTGACACTCAGTTCACCCCTCAAAAGTAAACCAATTCCCACTTTATTCACATTTTCAAAGCATTCGATAGTCTGCGACAAGCTCAATGGGACATCACTATCCAACAAGAAAAGATGAAATGAATCTTAACAGACACTCTAAAAACCGACTGCACAAAAATCCAATGAGACTGAGAAAAGAATGACCGTTGGCTACAAAAATCCGTCAGGAGAATTCATTCGCCTTTTTATCATCATCATCATCATGTATATTATGAAAGCTCAAGATGAGTTTCAGAGATTTTATAGTTGCTCATCCAAACAGTCTTATAAAAATCAGACCGATGTAGCCTCTAGAACAGAAAAAACGTAAAACGTAACCCAGAAGAAAGCACATAGAGTAGAGACACGCGTGAAGCGGACACGATTTTAGGAGGTCAATAAACAGCTCTGATGCCTTGTGATTAAGATTTCAAACCGCATGATGACCATATGACTGAGAAAAGAAAAACAGGAAGAAAAGATGGTATAGAGGTATTGAAGAGAAAATACCCACACTTTTCTTACTTTAGAATTTTTTCTTCGTTCCAGCCGGTTCGACCATAGCACCTGTGACTTTGGCACGAGCACCCCATCCACTATCACCTCCACCACGACCTCCCCCACGACCTCCTCCTCGTCCACCGCCGAATCCTCCACCTCGTCCGCCTCCTCGCCCACCGCCGAATCCTCGACCACCGCGGTCACCTCCGCGTCCACCACCAAACCCACGACCTCCACCTCTGCCCCCGCCGCGACCACCACGGTCACCACCTTGTGTTCGAGGCTGGCTGTAATCTAGTCGAACCTGACGTTGATCAATGTAGATACCGTTACCACGGCCTTCGTTCACAGCCGCTGTAGCAGCTTCTTGAGTGGCAAATTCAACGTAACCAAAACCCTTGATTCGTTCAGTCTCTGGATCGGTAGGTAATCGTACTGAATTGATATCTCCATACTCAGAGAATGCCTCATAGACTGAGTCTTGCGTGGCACTGAAAGGTAAATTGCCAACAAAGAGAGTAGTCGTAGGTGCTGAAA